TAATCCATGACCACAATCACCAAACATTATCGCAAAAAGAAAGGGAAATGTTATCATTGTGTATGGAGCTGAAATCGGCACTTTTTTCCAAAAAAAAAAAATCCATTTAAATATGAAAATTCCAATACTTTTTAAAAAAATCGATTAAAATCCTAATATGAAAATTCTAAACATCAAAATCCTAATAAATAAGAAAATCTTAATAAATATGGAAATCCTGATAAATGTGAAAATCCTTAATAAATATGAAAACCTTAATAAAATCCTAATAAATCCTAATACTGGAAATCCTAATATCTTAAAATCTTGATATGAAAATCCTTATATCCCAATACTAATACTGCAAATACTAAGGGCAGAAAAAGTTTTACAAATTTATTCTTTCCGAAGCAGGGAAACGATTTACCAAAACGCCTGCGGCAATAGGCTTAGCTTATTTTTGAATCGCTTTACCACCTCACTATAGGCGCAGAGAATGAAAATGTGTTACCTGGATTAATTTCACGATATGATGCAATGCCATAGGCATCGACAATATTCTGGAAACCTCGCGTGAATTTGTTGAGACGATTATAAGTTGGTGGCGCTTCAGTTGTGTCTGTCATACGATTTAATATTGATGGCACAGTACTTCCCGATTCTTCCTGAAGTTTAGTATATGGCAAAATAAAAGCCAACGAAATATGTTGTAGTAAAAAAATAGAGTTAATTCAAAATTTATATAAAAAAAGTTTCATGGATTTTTCGGAAATTTAATTTTTGGCTAAATCACAGCGACCATCTACACAACCAGTATAGAAATCCAGTGTTTCTGCTATTATTGCTCTGCAAGAAGGCATCCATAATTCCGGTGCAACTATGCCAGGCTCTTCGTATCTAAATTATAAAATCCCCTCCCCCTCCTGCCCCTACTCCCTCCCCCCCACGCTTGTTCGGTAAATGTGCGTTTTGTCTAAAAAGTGTTTCTCGAAAAACCCCTTCCCCGGCTCCCCTTTCCCCCGTTCGGTAAATGTACATTTTATCTGAAAAGTGTTTCTCGAAAAAGGCTGCGATCAAAGTAATCCAAGCGATACAAATATCTCCAGGTAGTATTTATATCATTTAGATGTTATTCTCCAAATGGTTCCATTTCTCATGGATAGCTAAGACGAAGGGAATTTTGACCAATTACAAACAAGCAAAGCCCTTGTTCGTAATTAAAAATACAAAGAATTAAGCGTCATTTCATAAAGTACAGCATGTCGTATTGCTTCAGACTAACCGTGCCTCGTTTTAAAGCCAGTTGAATTCGTCCCAGCTCGGCCACAGGACACCAGCATTCGGCAATCAGACATTTCTGGGTGACATCCAAATTGAACAGATTTAATGTATGATAAATGGATTTGATTTTACGCACTTTTGTCAACCACATTCGCAAGTTTTTCGATGCTGCTACCTAAATTTGACAAAATGTATTCAGTACAGATCATTCAGTCCAATATAAATTGTTAACAAAATCACTTGACAGATATGCATCATCAGTTTGCCGGAGGGAAAGAACTCCGACACCCAGTTTTGGTACCAAATATGAACGTATACGACTAAAAAAACTGAAAAACTCCTATTTAATTGTTGCATCATGACTCCCTCCTAGGTAGGACATGTATAATGGCGTGAAGGCCATTACGCAGTCAGCACGCTTACCTGGGGGATGGGTTTCAGTGCATCAACACCGATTTGGATGGGGAACATCACCCCAATATTTTGCGTTCTAGCTTCTCAAATTCCCGAGTTGTGAACTCACCGGAAAAAAAATTCGGCAGGCCATTACGCGGCTATATAAGGCTGCTGCTTCTGTGTTAGAAGACAGTGTTGCGTTGTGGTATATTGTGCAGGCGACCCAGACGACCCACGAAGGACGCGGGCTCTACCACCCCGAACTATCGCCAAGGAGTAGACAACCCAACTCAAGAAGTAGGAGCACCGAGCCAGTCGACGGGACCGTCTAGGCTCCAAACCGATAAGCCAGAGCTTCGGGCCAACCGACGAGCCACATAGCCATCAGATCAACATAATTACTTTGTTTTAATTCTTCTGAATTTTCCTCATCCGTTTACCTATATGCACAGAAGATACTTATTATTTCCTGAACAATTCCTTGGAAATTTGTACTAATTTACCCCTTTTCCACGTCCCCTTCCCCCGTCCCACAGGCCCAATATTCTATTGCCAATACAGGTATTACAGCACCATTTTTATTATCCTTACTTTCTTTTCAAACAATTTAAATTATTTCAAAATATTCAAAGATGCATTCCTTCTCTTCCCTGCACACTTATGATGGTCCAAATAGCACACACTTCCTTGGAAATTTGTACTAATTTACCCCTTTCCACCTCCCCTTCCTCCGCCCTACAGTTCCAATATTCTATTGCCAATTGCAGGTATTATAGCACCTTGAGTACGAGAACTACAAGAAGAACGTTACTGCTACTGAGGCTAGAAATGAACAAGGAATACACAGACCAGGACCCGATGCCGATGATCTTGCGTTTGGCCTAGAACTGTTTTTAGGTCTTCAATGCGAGTCATCACTCCTATTGACATCTCCCGTCGTTCCTGAGGCGTATCCGGGCATGGATAGAGAGTTGCTCGGAAGCTGAAAGACATGGAATATTTGCCGACATGAAGCTTGATGATAATTTTATTGAAACAAATAGCATCCAAAGTCAAAAATCATACTTTACTTGACTGTTTGAAGCATCTAGGATACTGCCATTTAACTATCGCTTCTCTTTCCTTCCTATCTCTCCCGGGCCCACTCCCTTACATAGCAGGAACCCCACTTTTTAGATTTAAAAATTTTCAAAAAACATCGAAAAATCCCCTGCAATACAATGCTACCACTGTTAACAGCTAAACTGTAGCAATCGTACTGGGAATTAACTTTTTCAAGGACTGCTTCTGAAATCTGCGGCTGCAGAATAAGCTCAAATAATTCCTTTTTTTTAAAATACAGAATGTAAAGATCGAACTCCACAGCACAGTTGTGCATTATACAGTAACAAATGTGCACCAAAAGCAGTGTAAGAACAAACCCTTCACAAATTTTTTTGACGCGAGTTTTCAGCTGATCGCCTTGGAAAAATACAATGAATACGGTTTTCATGATCGGATCTCCCTAAAAAAATAATAAAAATCGCTGCTCCAATAGCTAAAGGATGGAACACAGATTGTATCCTAACATGTCTTACACAGGAGGCTGTACTGATGATTCCCGCTCCTACCCGCACACACTGCTCAGTTTATGTTTTCAGCTAAGGGATGAAACACAGACTCTCTACATCGTAAAATGTTCTTCGGCACATGGCACTTAAGACCAATCCTTCCATTCTACTATTACATGCGAGCATTTATTCTATTATCACAGTGTAGTAAGAAGCATCGGAGATTGGTGACGTGCACCTAATTTGGTACTATTGCCAGAATGAAAATTCCTAGAATGCTGCGCTATGTTAATAGCTCAGAATCGAATTTATTGCTTTTCTGCTCACTTAACGATTTTTTGATGGGTTACGCTATTAACTGAATTTCACGTCCCTCCGCAATTTCTCCATTCGGATTTCAAATTTTAAATATTTTTTCACTTTTTATTTTTTCTCAAACTAACAAGTTCAGCATTTTCTCATAAAGGACCTCTATCCAACTACCCACTAAACTGCTTCATATCAAAAATACCGAGACTGCTCGGGTTATCAGTGCGGGAAATTACTTCAAACACAGTGTAAAAAACAAAATGCCTATTTAATGAAGTACGTAGAAAATAGCTACAAACAATGGGAATACCCTTTCCTATTAAAAAACGGCTTTAAAATTTTTATTCTTTCTTGTACAGTGGTCGCTCTTGCCCACAAAGTTTGTTAAGATTTATAGCAATTCCTAATCCCTATTTTCTAAAATTTTCAAGAAAACTTTGATATCAAAATTTGTCAAGAGAAAAAATGAAAGTTCAAAATCACATACAGTTACAGCATCAATAAGAGGTTCGGATATTTCCGATTGTCGCAAAAAGACATTACCACGACAGGCGCGCCAAAGCAGGCGCTCAAATGCTGGAAGCCGTTCTCGTTGAATGACGCCAGCAACAAATCTTAAAAAAAAAAAAAAGAATACAGACATTTGATGCAAAAAAATGCAAAATTTGTGATATTAGAATGGGAATCAAAAATTTTAAAGTGCAAATCGTAACGATTTCAGTATTGTTTTTTGGCTTTTTTCCTTTTTTGTACCCCAATCTTAGTTCCCATTAGTTTTTACCGCAAAAGCAAAAACGGCACGGTGAAAAGCACAGCAAAGCATCTGGCCAAAAACATTTTTGACGAAATTTTCTTTTGCGGACGATGAAGAAACGCAACTCTTATGAAAGTGTAGATTCCCCCAGTTTTATTCGTTTTATGTTTGTCGTAGAAAAGACAAAAAAAGAACATCTGACGCATTTTCAGTTGCATAATAACAGCGATATTTTTGGCATTTTCATGTCGCTTTTGTTAATAAGCTAGCAAGCATAAGATAACCGTAAAAACTATCATTTTCATGCCAGAGTCCGCCAATCTCTTCACAATTCGTTCATTCGTTTCGATAGTAAATTGGTACTGACGTGATTAAGAGACTCCAAAACGCCATCAGCTTGTTTTGGATAACTTTCGGGTATGAGAACCACTGAAAGCTTTTAACTGCTGCTAGCATGCACTACCATTCGGGCTATTTCTGAGTACCCTAGCTTCTCACAGCTAACCAATACGAAAGGGATTTTTACTACACAGTTTGAAAACAGAAACTAGAATAACTTGGAATAACTATAAATCAAAATATTTCTCGTTTTAGAAAATCAGCGGACGGATGGAGCAAAAAACACAAGACGAAAAGAAGGAGTGTAACAGATACAATTAAATGGCTGACAGCATAATGATGAAATCAAAAGATTAGATCAAAATTTTGACGACATTTTTGAGACTACCAAGTGAAAAGTTATTCCATCGTTAAGACATTATTAAAATGATAAAAAGAAGTTCGTATAATAAAACAAATATGAAATAATAAAATAAAATGAAATAATAAAAAAGCAGTGTGCAACAGAACAAGCAAAAAAGCATTGCCACCTCAAATGTGTTTTTGTTTTTCGATACGCACACACACACAAAAACATACATATATACAAGGATATTAAAAAACCCAGGCTAGAACGCACTAGGCGGCCCAATGCGATCATGCGTTTTTGCACTATTTCATGTTGTAGCGAAATCGCAAGAAATCACAGTAGCTAGAATTTGTGACATTCTGGCTCTCGAAGTTCAGGAAGTTAATTGTGCAGTTATATGGCATGTTAGTTGTGGATGTCGGCTTCAGTGACCCGACAAATGGTAAGTTGCTGGTGCGCGAAAAGGAACCACTAGGAGTTAAATTTGAAATATTTTAGTTGCACATGAGTAGGGAACACTCCTTTAAAATTCCAGCCTTCCAGCTTTCCTCGTCCCCAAGTTAGCAGTTTTCCTGCTAAAATTTTCACTTGCCCATACATGATTCCGGGTGGTTCTAAGCAGTTGAGTTTGAAATCTTTTGGTCGCACATAAGTGGGGAATATCGTCTTAAAGTTTCAGCCTTCTAGCCTTTCTCGTTCCCGAGTTAGCAGTTTTCTTGCCGAAACTTTCACGTGTCCGCATGTGCGATATCGACGTGCCTGACAGTTGATATCACGTTCTTGGGATCGCATTTGGTCAGGGAATACACTGGCAAAATTTCAGCATCGAAGCCTGTGTGGCTGGCGAGCAGAAATACTCGGACAGACGAACACACACACCCACGCACACATACACACAGACAGCGTCGTTACAATATGTGTTTTTGCTGCCTGTTGCAGCGCTCTAGCGCTCCACACAAAAAACGCTTAAAAATGAATCTCAATGTTAATGCACACACTGTGTGGAAATTCGCATCTTCAGACACTGCAAAAGGCAAAAGCGCAAAGGCAAACTACATGCCCTTGAACAATCTCTAAGCTATCATGCACTATTTTATATGTTCTCAAAGTTCTTATGCTGGATACTCCCGGTTTAGGTCATACAATCAACTGATGCGCTAATGCAGTGCTTTTTTGAGGTACAAGATGGTGATTATTAGAAAAAAAAAGAAATCCGAGAAGAGGGAAAGCACATAAAAGTGAGGGAGTGAGGTGCAATGCGAATCTGCTTGCCTGAAAGAAAGGACCCCCTTTTCCCCCATAAAGGCCGTGTCCGCGGCAAGATCAATGGTACTCAGAGTAATGTACGATGAAGCAACAGTGATAACGAGTTTTTAAATACAAAGATCTAAAAAGAGAATGCTATCCTAAGGGGGGAGAGAGAAAAAATGAAGTAACCAAGGACCGAGAAAGTTAAAAAAAACAGAGACATACCCAAAATTGGCAAACATTTGACCGGTGATACCGGTACCCGGCAGCTCGATGCCCATTCCCTCAGTTTCCTGGAGACCGATGTGTTCGAGCAGGCCAGCTGCACCACTGGGCGCATTCGATGGTACCATTGCTTCCGGTCCAGCCTAACACAGTTTTCTGCATGATCATTCAAACCGGCTTCATCATTTCAGCGTTTTATACATAATAAAGTTAGATTTCCACCATAGCTCTCGTGTGTGGTTCCAAAACCAAGAAAAGTGTCTCTCCTAATGTATTCAAACAC